GGTGGTTTTACAAAGCTGAGAAGTCGCTTCTATTGCAGCCGCGAAACAGTCAAATCTGAAACATATTTATATTCCCCCTTTATAGTACCTTCTCAATGGTTATTACAGGTCGAACGACATCAATTTGTTAAAACGTGCAGCTCCTATTTTCAATCATTCGCTCCTTAAAGTCCTCTTGACCTTTTGTACCTCCACCGAAATATTGGCAATTGACAACAATCGATGTATTTTAGAAATGTTAAGCTTTAACCAAGTGATAAACAGACGATGGGTCGTCTGTTGCTTTTCAGATTATCTGGAATTTGCTCAGGCCCACTTCTGGGGTGAGCCTCGGGAATTGAGGGTGTCTTGAGAATACGGCCAGGATCAGAGCTTACCTGTCCCACTGGTGTCTCGGAACCACTGCAAACGAGCGGGAATGAAGCCGATCAGCATCGTCAGCAGCAGCAAACCCACCAGGGAACCCACCTTCACTTGCAACAGGTACTCCATTTCGAAACGCCGCAACGAATAGTTAACACAAACTATTACGAGCTCACTTTAAACTCCGAAACCTTAAAAAATACCGAATTATTTTATATGAATAAAACCTTGATTGAAAACCACGAACTGTCATTTATCGATACACTTCTTAAATAAAAAATCTATTTTAAAAAGCAGCTATTTCAAATCATTCTACAGCCACTTTTCATATCTACTTTCCTCCCCACTACAAACACTACCGCGAGGTTATATCATTATTATTAATGTTCGTATTATTAATAGTCCACTTGTCTTTCTGAAGTGGCTACTCCGAGTCTTCATCTCGCTAGACCCATTTCTAGACTGATTGCCCCAGCCTGCGAACTGTACTTGCGAGGCGAAGAGTGCTCTGTCAAGACTGAGGAGACAGTGGTGCAGCAGAGAGAGCATGCTTGTTCTTAGCTTGTCATAGCACCTGACTGCGTCCCATGTGACTAAATGTAATCAAGCAGTGATTCATGCAGAGTCAGTAAGCAAGTACTGACGGGAAAGTACATCTAGTTTTACCTTTGGCATTCCAATTACAGTACACTCGACATGATAATGAAATATAAAAAATATGGGCACAACTGAAGTTGCGATGCGTTTGAACACATGAAAATGTTACCCAGAAGATCTTTGCGAACTTAAACTGGACAGCAGGCGTGTTAGACAAGCTTCATAATACACGGTAACCTGACAGTATAGTACAAATTGTCTTCCCTCGAAACAAATAAAACGTAGTCGTTTTAGTCTTATTCACAAATCGTACGCAAAAAAGGGTCTTGTAATACAGCAGTTGAACAGTGGTATTACAGCCGTGTCCAAAACGGCAAATAAAGGAAATTTTAGAGAACAGACTTGTAAGTTAGTTTTCTCTGACTTCACTGTGATAATGTAACGCAACGGGGGCTCAGACGGGCGCCCTTGCCGCATTAGGTCGGCCCCCCACCGTCGGGGGCTCGAACCCAGGATTCCCGCGTCACTCAACAGGGATCCAGCCCGGTGAAAGAGATCTCTCTACTGCCCAGTAGCTGTGGTCCTGCAATCACAGGGAAGGGCGGCGACGTCACCACTCTGGTAAGCCGGCTCTTACACACCCTGATGGCCGTATGCGTTACACTCTCCCCCGCTTAACTCGCCGTCCCCGGCGAAGGGCTATCCCACCCCGCTTCTGACACCAATGTAACGCAATTGAGCTAAAGAGAGATCTCTCTACAGCCCAGGGGCTGTGGTCCATAGTATTACAGGGAAGGGCGGCGACGTCCCCGCTCTGGTAAACCGGCTCTTACACAGTACCTGTCGGCCATATGTGTTACAATATGAACAGACACTTTACTGAGGCTCACCGTCAGCACACAAGCTAAATAAAATATTATAGTTCTCCAAAACAAGGTCTTGTTTTCTCTCCTTTGACAGAAGCGTTACTGTCAAAACCTAAAATGAGACCCATTTGACCTTTCCCCCTTACCTACCTTGGAATGCCAGCGACAAGTTGTTTGTTCACAACAGATATGCACTACTATGCAGTATATAGCGGTTTTATTTACTCATAAAAGTTGCGTTTGTTGCTTGTAGTGGTGCATAGCACCAATGTTTCAATATACCATTTAACACATCTGTGAATATTCCATTAAGCTAACTTGATTACCTGGTTTTACCACAGCGTAACTGTTCTTCTTAACAGGATTTTTAAAAATTTAGTGGCCATTACTATGTCACGCCACGTAAGGGTAAGACTGACGTGCAATTGATACTATTAAACTACGTAGAACCATTTACAATGTGTTTTATATTTTGCATATATTGCTAAATACACGTTGAAACAGTGCATGGGTATACATATACGTACAATTTCTGACAGTATTTCAGAGAGCAATGCGCAGTTCGGAATTGAAGGGAATGTTCACACCCCCCGCCTAGGTGGCGCTAGCAGATGGAAAGCAGATTCCACCCAGTTACCTGCTCACCTCATCGTCAGCGGCTGCCGCAGAGCAGGATCTGTGGAGAAACGGTGTGGTCGAGCAGGCTGTTTTTTCAGGTTTTATTGTAAATTAAATAATACAAGAAAAGGTATCCCAAAAGGAAGAGGGAACACAAAAAAACACATAATATGTTGCCATAGATAATTACTCAACACAAGTTAAGATTTTTACAGAGACATCAGTAGTGCTTTTTGCCTTTGTATTTAGCTGGGCAAACTTCAGATGCTTGACCTGATGACGTCCTTCTGCCTGTGTTAACGCAGACTTCGACTGTGGTCAGATCTGCTGAGAAATCAGTGCAGAAACTGCGCAGATATACATAAATCCGGGTATCGGGAGTATCGTCATGCCATTGCTGGCCGACCAAGTACTACACCTACGTTGAAACACGGTCATGTGGCAAAAGCACTTCCTTTATTGGTCGAGATGGGAAATTTACTTTGCAGGCAGGTGCAAAACATAATACAATATATAATACACTTAGTACAACATGAACCATTTTCTAACCGTGTACAGCATTGTTGTAGAATATACCATATATGGTTAACTTGTTTAGTTATGAGTATTTTATCATATGCAAAGTATCGCTTGGTTTTCATTTTGAAACGTGTAATAGAAAATAATATTGGGTAAATTCACAACGGAGCAACTATCCACGGTAAACTTTTTTTTTTAAATTAAAGACCAGTAGGATAATTAATAACTAATGCTTGTAATGTCGTGGCTCTTTATTCCACAGTCCAACTTTAAGAGCGGTTCTTGATTGGCCCACAAACAAAATAGATTTATATTAACCAGACATTTATACCAGCTCTATTTACAAAGTAGTCCTCCATGATGTAAATACAATAACAGATCTGTCGCTTGTAGATGCTGTTTCTCTTCACTTTCAAAACCCTGTGACTGTACGTTTTGTTTAAAAAATATCTGCAGTTTGGATATTTGATTAATATCAAATATATTCTATGGAGTATTGACTTAAGTTAAAGCTACGTTTATTTTTTTGCATTGCGAAACGTTTATTATGATTTTAAAAAGTGAATTTGCGGCCAAAAACTCATTCTTAAATTAAAATAGCGACATGTGTATACTTTGGCCGGTAGAGGGCATTGAAGATCTTAATTTCTATATTCCGAAGAAAACAAATCGCAGATGAAAACTTTCCCGATTGTCCGAGCCCATACGTCATGGAAAGAGTTACATTGTTAGACAGCCGAAGAATCGCTGCTAAGAAATATGATTCCTTGATACATTCTCCACATGCGTGCACAATACTGAAGAATACAGAGGGAATACGAACGGACTTAAATTCATAATTTAAGAAACCGGTATTAAAGAAGTGTTTTCTCCTTCGAAAAGGGATCAAGATTACAAAGGAATGTGGATCGAGCCCACAATGCACTAGGTCGTATTCATTACTCATCTTTCTCCCTTTAGAAAAAAAATGTTTTCCTGCCAAGACACTTTGTTTTCTTGCTGGAACGAAATGTTGAGGTAGTGTTTTGACCTGTTGTTTTTCTTCACACAGCAGGGATTTAAACTGCTTTTGAAGAGTGCGTTGGACGTTTTCAGCCGGACTACAACTTTATTTTAAAACCTGTTTCTAAGACTAAAGCCTATGCACTGATAATATGTGAAGAAAAAAAAACTTTTTAGCAACAATTTTCCTATATCGGCTCATTTTTTCATAGATGAAACTGGAACTTTTTGAAAATTTTAGGGATATATTTTTCCACAATTGGAAGTCAAATAACTGGATGTCCTGACAACTGCTGTTAATCTGCTTGAAGTAAAGGTTGAAGATCAATAAATATTTGAAGCGGAAGCTGGGTTTCAAGAGAGGTCAGGTTTACAGTAACATGGGAATAGTGCAGTGTAGTAATATTTCAGGGTTATGAAATGTCTAGCATGTCATTTAGTGATCTTAATTTAGTTTTCTAATGTGATATCAGGTAAAATGAGGTCTTCATTCGGATTCTTTTACGTTTTTTAAAAAATAATCTTCGTAGGGATGTGGTAACCAAATGATTTGTTGTGATTTGTGTACTCGTCGAAAGATTCCATAGAGACGTTGGTGGGAAAAAGTTTTAGCATGCACTTATTTCAAGGATTGTTGTGTGGTTATGAGGTCAATCAAGTTTTTTTTTTTTTACCGCAGTATAAAAAATAGTTTACGTGGTGTCATTGCAGGTGGCAACAAAGGAAGAAACTTCGCACGATTATTGTTAAAATGTTAACTACGTTAATATCGGAACACCTTGTATGATTTGGATTACTGTTGTGATTATTGTATGTTAATTCTGATTGTTAAATTTTAGCTTCAGCAATTCAATGAGCACTGGTCAAAGAGGCAGAGATTGATCTGCTAGAAATATCACTTTTTACTTTTTGTGATATTGAAAAAGTGTTAATGACACATTTAAACCGACAGGTATTTATAATAGGCTGCATGGTTTTGTACAGAGGCGGAGACGTTAGGTAGTTGCATGGTTTCAGTCTTAAATACACTGTTGTCTCTTGTAAACAAATAGCGTAACAATCGCTCCGTATTTTTACTACTTGTTAGCTACACGAGTCACTTGCTAGTTTTGTAGCCATTTCAGCTACCTTAAAATAGATATCCTGTCCTTTGTAATGCTGAAATCGGTACATTTCAGCTGAGGGCTAGGGAACGTCTTTTTTATCTAATACAGAGCAACAGCTGTTGTTTGACAGTGACCGAAGACTTCCATTGATTTAAAAAAGGGATTTGGGTTGAAAAGGAATGTTGAGTTGGTAAGTGAAAGTAGACTTAAATGGCGATCTGTTGCGTGAGGAAAAAGTAACTTTAAAATCAAATTGACTTTTCAGATTATCAGGAGACATAAGCATCAACCAAAATGTCCTTGAAAGCTAAGGCACTTTACACCTTCCAGAGTGAAAATAAGGAAGAGATCAGCATCCAGGAGAATGAAGAACTTATTATTTTTGATGAGAATTCCTTAGACGGCTGGCTTCAAGGCCAAAACAGTAGAGGGGAACGAGGTCTCTTCCCAGCCTCTTATGTTGAAATCGTAAGACCCCGGACCGATTCCAATCTAACAGATTACTCAATCAGCCCTGCAAGCTCACCCAGCAATAACTCTTCCTACTTTGATTCTGCTCATCATACCTCCTACCATCTGGGGAGCTATGAGGAAGATGATGACGATGACTGGGATGATTGGGACGATACTTCCACAGTAGTGGAGGACGAGGAGACTCGGCGAGGATATGGCGCTAATGGACATGCTCACCAAACGCCCCATTCAAATCCTAATGTCCACTATCGACCCAAACCCCCCATGGAGAGACAGGACAGCATTTCCAGCTCCAGGAAGGGAAGTGTGGTGGGCAGGAATCTCAACCGGTTCTCCAGTTTTGTCCGCTCTGGTGTTGAGGCCTTTGTGCTTGGAGATGTGCCCATGATGTCCAAGATTGCGGAGACGTACTGCATTGAGATGGGCTCGAAAGGCCCCCAGTGGAAAGCTAATCCCAGGCCCTTTTCCTGTTCTATTGAGGACCCCACAAAGCAGACAAAGTTCAAGGGCATCAAGACCTACATCTCCTATAGGGTGACACCAAGCCACACAGGTAGACCTGTCTACCGCCGCTACAAACACTTTGACTGGCTCTACAACCGGCTTCTACACAAATTCACAGTAATATCTGTGCCCCACCTGCCGGAAAAGCAGGCCACAGGACGGTTTGAAGAGGATTTTATTGAGAAACGCAAAAGGAGGCTGATTCTGTGGATGGATCACATGACCAGTCACCCAGTTCTCTCCCAGTATGAGGGCTTTGAGCACTTCCTTATGTGCGCGGATGACAAGCAGTGGAAGTTGGGCAAGCGACGGGCCGAGAAGGATGAGATGGTGGGTGCCACCTTCCTGCTCACCTTCCAGATCCCCAGTGAGCACCAGGACTTGCAGGATGTGGAAGAGAGGGTGGACTCCTTCAAGACATTCACGAAGAAAATGGACGATAGTGTAATGCAGCTCACCCATGTGGCCTCCGAGTTGGTGCGCAAACATGTGGGCGGCTTCAGGAAGGAGTTCCAGAAACTGGGCAATGCATTCCAGTCTGTCAGCCAGGCCTTCACCCTTGATCCTCCCTACAGCTCCGATGCCCTCAACAATGCTATTTCCCACACGGGCCGCACATATGAGACCATTGGGGAGATGTTTGCAGAGCAGCCCAAAAATGACCTCTTCCACATGCTGGACAAGCTCTCGCTGTACCAGGGACTGCTCTCCAATTTCCCAGACATTATTCACCTCCAGAAAGGTAAGACCTCACCTTTTGTTATTCCAGCACCACTTAGAGTGTTCTCAAGCGCGCCATATCAAATGTGAGTTCTTCAAACAATTTACGAGGAATAACAAACCAATAATTAAGTGTACTGAAAGGATTGTGGAGTGGTTTATTCAAAATGTGGCTTAACCTGTTTAGTTGAGCGCTAACCTCCTGGCCATAGGATGAGGAGGCTAGGACCCCCATGCAGAGTGAGGAATGACCAAGGGGTAGCTGTAAAGGTGGAGATGGAATGGAAGTGGGATGCAAACGATGCATGCTAGGGTGAGAAAGGGATAATATTTAAAATGTTTAGGTGAGGAAATAATGCCAGGATTGATTTGCAAATTACTGATAGCCCAGTCTGATTGAATTTAGTTGTTGTAATCCCTCCTGAACATTTGTTGTAAACACTATTAATATAGTTCACTGCATTTATATAGTGCTTTCATCAAAAATGGTCCCAGAGTGCTTTATATATAGGAAGGGAATCGCTTCATCCAACACTAGTGCATCACCCACCTGGTTGACACATGGTAGCTATTATGACCCAGCAGCTCCATTACACAGAAAATCAGATTCAGAGTGAGAAATTGGATTACTAATTAAATTGAGGGGAAACTTCAAAAAGGCCAGATTGTGAAAGCCTAGAGTGGCACAGGACACAAGGGTTAACACCCCTCTTATTAACCATTTAAATGACCACATATTCATTAAAGTTTCATCAAATAGATGGCTCCGCTACAGCTTAGTGTACCCAGTCACCACAACTAGGACAATTGCTTGGAAATTGTGGTACAGAGAAAGAGTGCCACGTATTGGTCCACTAACAGCACTTACAACGGCATATTAGTTTTCCTTGGATGTCTTCCATCTTAAAATAGATCGGGCCCAGTCTTGTTTAGTTTCAGTACTGATAACAGCAGTAAAATAATTAAATTTTGAGGCTTAGAGAATATCTTGAAAGTTGTAATCCATGTTGTAAATATTCAAGAGGCAGAAAGTTATGAAACTTAGTTGTATAATGCATTTTATAGAAGATATTCATCTTTGTTCTGTGATCTTCTTAGCATAAACCACATACCTTGCTCTTGCAGTTACTGGTCATGGACCACACTGTTTAATGAAAAGATCAGAGGAGTAAGGGTGATGAAAATCTTTGATACCAACTTAACAATCTTCTACTTAAAAAAAAAAAACAATATTAGAAGTGATTTTTGAACTTTAATGAGTGAATAATAATATTCCTTACAAAATAAGTTGTATTCAAGTGAAAAATAGATGATACATAATGCAATACATTCTCTACTTAAAAACTGAAGTGATCAGCATGTTCTGTTAGAACTGCTTGAGAAGCAATTAGGCATTATTATGTGAGCCAAAGCTTTTGGAATTAAAGGGCATCTACTGATTAAACTAGATTAGATGTCTGGTCATGAACACAATTATTTAAAAATTGTATTATACCATAAATGATTTTTAAATCTTGAACTTTATGGTTTAATTTGAGATTTTCTCTCACACCTACCTAATAGGTTTGCTGGGTATTTACTAAATTCATTTAAGCTCCTAAGAATGGCTTAAAGTTTCTAATGTTACTTTGAAGTGTCTAGTGTCAGCTATGTTCAATGGTACGTAGTTACAAAGGAAAATGTAAAAGCTACAGTACTTCCATGCTGAAAAGTAGAAACAAAGAACAATATGCAACATTTGGGCAGTTACACTGTCACACTGTTGTAACTCACCTGAAGAAGGTGTCAGGTGTCTTACACACAAAAGGTTTAACATCTGAAACTGTAATAATTCTGCATCTTTGTGTGGAATTAAATCAAACTGGAACTTTGCAGCCAATGTGAGCTGATGCAGCTCCCTGTTCTAGCCTCATGCCACTTATTTTGACTTGTTTCTCTCTGTGCATAGTGCTAAAAGCTAGCAGATTCAACTAAATATAACATTGAAACTGCTTGTGAAGCCTCTTTTATCATGGTTTGTTTGTAAAATGGCAAGCCAGGAATGCAAAGAGGTTTCTGGCTATATTTAATGGTTGAAGTTGATTTAAAATGTACAAAAATGCGTTCCAAGCAATGTGTCCTTCTTACCTTTATTGCAATGAGACTGGGGGAATCTTAGAATTCTACTAGTTTTGGAGTGGAGAATACTGTAGTTACGATAACAAATGGTTTAGAAACCACTCTTTATCCAATGTATAGAAGATAGACACCAGTGCTTTATATAAGGTAGCTTCATGTGCACTTTTTAAATGATTAATAAACTTATGGGAAGTTCAAACTTTATGTCATCACAGAAGCACTTCATCACAATTTATTGAGGCCTTTGCTAAGATTAATTTTTCAATCCCTGTCTTGAAAGCTCCAAGGGGTGGTGGCAGCTTTCCAGCCTTGACACAGCACCAATTAAGCTTGGCTTGTGAAACTGGGTTCACATGCATTTAAGAAATGTCTTTGTTGTGACCTGAGATAGCTTTTGCTGGGAATCCTGCTGAATAAACTACAGTATATGGGAACAATTCAAATGTTTGAACATGTACGGTGGAGCTGTACAAATGTTCAAACTTAAGTGATAGATGAAACTGTATAATAGATATATCTATGAATTGGCTTCATTACTCTGCTCTTCTCCCCACTGATAGCTGGTGTGTGGTGAGTGTTCTGGCGCACTGTGGCTGCTGTTGCATCATCCAGGTGGATGCTGCACATTGGTGGTGTTGGAGGCGAGTCCACATTACCTTCCTTTCAGTTACAGAAATGATAAAAAAGCCAGTCTCCAAAAAAGTTATTGCCAGAAGCTTCTGCCTTTTAAATTTATATGCCATAGACCTCGTTTATTAAGTCACAGTTAACCTACTTTTCCTGTTCATCCACCTCCACATAGCTGTCTACAGGTGTTTGTTCATGTTACCATGGAGATGTTTACTGGCTCACTATTGTTTTAGACCCTTTAGGTGAGACTCTGCAGTCTCAGGTTCCATTTCTCATTGTCTGAGCTCTATATAGATAGAAAGATAGAACATTATCTCAAGCAGTGAGAGGCCAAGCAAGTAAATCTGCATCTTTTTGTTATACACTTAATGAATTGTTGACCTGTCCCATGCACACTGGAAGCAGAAATTTTTATATATATATAGCCTAATTTTCATTTTCTTAGCAGCTAATGCAAATGCATAATTCCTATTTTAAAAATGTGATTTCTACAGATCTGGACTGTAAGGCTTCCAACAATTTTAAGTAGTTGTAGATCTGTCCATTAATTATCCATACTTTTGAACATTTGATCATAATATGTTAAGAGAAAGACACACAAATTAGCAATTACAATCTATATTGGAAAAATTACTATGCAGGAGATTAAAGTTAATAAAATATTATGAACTTTATGTGTGGTAATTTATATCAACTGTTTGACACAAAATGAGCACCACCCTAAATAATCAAGATTTAAGCACAATATTGTTACTAGGTATTTTACACCTGTACTTTTATGGCATAGGGTACTTACTGTATCAGTCCAGAATATAAAAATACTAGAACAAGAATAATATTGAGTTAGGAGCATATGTTTAAAATGAAGGTAAAATAACAATAAAACCTTCTCCAGAATTGGTAAAAAAAAAAACAATCATCCTTAATTCTTGCAAAAGTTCTGAAAATCTTACAGTACTGTCATAATCATAAATAAACACATCACCTTTTCAGTACTGTCTTGTGATATTAATAGCAATGGAATGGCCTGACCATACCATCCATCCATTAAAACTCCACGCAGAATGGAAAAACTGTGCCACCATGCCACAAATCCTTTGCTAATCATTTCTACAAAAATAACATTTTAATGGTCTTGATCAGGGGCATTATGTTGGCACAGTGATTTGCATTCCTACCTCACACCGTTGGGGCCCTGGGTTCAATTACAGACCTGGCTGTGAGCTAAAGTACTTGGATTTGGTATGTTCTCCCTGTGTTTGCGTGGAGTGCTCCAGTTTCTTCCAACAGGCTAAGGCAGAGGTGCCCAACCAGTTGATCGATCGCAAGAATGTTTGGCAAAAGATAATAATAACAATAATAAACTTTATTTTATATAGCGCCTTTAAAGGTGGCTTCTCAAAGCACTTTACAGGATGACACCAAACAATAAAAAGAAGAATACACAAGATAAAATACAATTACAATATACAGAGGAGACCGTGGATGGTGGTACTAAGAAAAGCAGAGGGGTGGAGAATGGAACCAGTTAAGTAAAGGCTTTTCTGAAGAAGAGGGTTTTGAGTCTGGATTTGAAGTTTAGAGAAGGTGACTCTCTGATATCCTTGGGGAGAGAGTTCCAGAGCTTGGGCGCATAAGAGAAGAAAGCCTTGTCACCCATACAATGTAGACGGGCTTGGGGGACAGTAAGGAGAGCAGAATTAGAAGAGTGAGATGGGGATTAGGGCGATAATAGTTCAGACAGGTACTGAGGTGCCAAGCCATGCAGAGCCTTATAGGTGAGCATGAGGATTTTAAAGTCTACATGGAATTTGACCGGAAGCCAGAGTAAGGACTCCAGGCTAGGAGTAATGTGAACACTTGCACTAGACCTGGTCAGGATTCTGGCTGCTGAATTTTGGACATACTGCAGTTCGTTCAGAGTAGATTTAGATCCCCCAGCCAGTAGAGCATAACAGTAGTCAATTCGAGAGAACACAAATGTGTTGATCAGCTTTTCAGCCACAGTTAGTGATAGCATAGGGCTTAGTCTAGCAATATTTCTAAGGTGAAAAAAAGATGTTTTGACAGTATGCTGCACATGTGGGTCAAATGTTAAAGATAAATAGGCTATATGACAATTTACTTTTTTCGATAGCCTAAAAATTAATTCAGTTCTGTGAATGTAATGTCATACATTTTACTGCCCTTGTGTGTGTTTAACCCTTGTCGAATGGGTTGTAAAAGTCTCTCCCCTAATTGCTGGCTGACACTGGAGGGGAAAAAAAGGCTTCA